GCGTTTCCGTGCCTGTAGATCGTTGTAGGAGCCAAAAGCCTCATTGTCTGCATAGCAGCCGGTAGGATCGAACCTCCAACCTTCTGATTTTCAGTCCAATGCTTATTGTTGTAAGTAAGTCTTTACTTACAACAAATGGAATTGAAAAACTGGATAGAATGAACTTGAGTAAGAACAAGTGCTGAGTGGTATATTTGGTGAGAAAAGAAAAAAAGGTAATGGAGAAAAAGAACTATCTCCTAGTAGTTGCTATTGTTGCTTATCCACAATAATAATAGCAGCCAACATTTACTGAATATTTCCTGCAGGCCAGTCACTGTAAGTATTTTTGGTACATTATTTTATTTAATCCTTGGCACCACCCTTATTATTCCATGATTTCCATTTTACAAATGGATACTGCAAGACTTAGAGTAATTAAATAATTTACAGAACTAGTAAGTGGTAGAGTCAATACTTGAACCTGGGTCTGTCTGACTCCAGAAGCCAAAGTGCTCTTTGAAGTAGCTTGTGCAATTTTGAAGAAGGTCAGCTAATCTACTGCCATGCAACATAAATCAGTATTGTTACATATTTTAAAGAAAATAAACAAGATTTAATCTGTAAATAATGATTATTGTTGTTGTTGTTAAGTGCCATCAATTGGTTCTGACCCATAGTGACCCAGTATAGGGTTTCCGAGGAGTAGCTGGTGAGCTTGAACCGTTGACCTTGTGGTTCAAACCAACTTTGCAGTCCAACGCATCAACCTACAGTGCCACTCCAGGACTCCTAATGATAATAATAATAGCAAACATTTATTGAACCCTAACTTTTTTCTAAGTACTTTTTTTGTTCTAAGAACTTTATTTATATTTACCACCTCATTTAATCCTCACAACCATTTTAAGAGGCAGACTCTTTTATTTCCATTTTACACAGGAAGAAACTGAGACATAAAGGCAATAAGTAACTTGCACAAAGTCACGTAGCTGGTAAGTAGCATGACTTGGTTTCCAACCCTACCAAGCCAATGGTCTTAACCACTACACTAAATTGCCTCTCAGTGTTGTCTATATAGAGTAATATGATTCCCTGTTAATATTATGGTAAAATGACTTATGTGGGAAAGCTTCAACAATTCACAGATTTTTTAATTCTTCCTGATTTATCCACATGTTTAAAATGAATTAAATGATCTTACACTGGTAGTTGAGTGATTGAACTGAAAGAACAAGATACTGAACATACAGTACCCGTTTTTTTCTCTACCCTAATTCTTAAGGTCAGCAGTTCGAAACTACCAGCCGCTCCACGGGAGAAAGATGAGGCTTTCTACTCCCGTAAAGATTTACACCCTCGGAAACCCTGTACAGGGTCGCTATGGGTCAGAATCGACTCGACGGCACTTAACAACAACAACAATTCCAAGGAAGGGCTCTAAGGTTGTCATGCTTCCTGCCTCAGTGTTTGTGGTCTAGAACAGAAGATGTGACATTAATGGGTCCTCCGGCTCCAAGACTCTGCTTTGTGGGTCCTGGTTCCTTTCCATCTGGTAGAGAAGGATTTGGAATTGAAACACTACCCTGTTGAGTAACTGTAATACCAACTATAGTTTTTAACACAGAGGTTGACCCAACCTGAGGACCAGGCCGTGCCCATGTTTCAGAGGTTTTGTGGTCGCCATTATCACTCTTGTCCACCAGTTGAAAAGGAAAAACAAAAAACAAGAGAACTTTCCACAAGTTTTACCTTTCATTAAGTTTTTTCTCCTGAGAACTTGGCAGAGGTGAGGCAGTCTAACTACCATAGCTCATAAATATACTCAATCAGAATATTCATTTGGCTGAGTCTAGCTGGCACAAAGATTTCTTTTTGACTCATGAATATACTACCAGCACTTCAATATTATGGTGGCCTTGATTCCTTTCTCTGTCTCTTTTTCCTTTCCATTCTTTCTTTCCTTTCTTTTTTTGAATAAAGAAAAAAAAAAAAGATCTCATCTGCACAGACAGTACTTACCTTACACCAGATTCTCAGTAAATGTTCATTGCTGTCTGTTATTACTATAAAACATTACTAGCATCTAGAGTGATTTTAGCATCTACTGTACCATAGTTTTGATATGGGGAAAATTTAATTCTGTAGTGAGCTAGAATTTTCTTGCTTAGTAGGAGATGAAAGTCTTTGCATATTGCATATGGCTCTATTGTTGTTGTTGTTAAGTGCTGTTGAATCGGTTCCGACCCATAGAGACCCTGAACTGGGTTTCCGAGGCTGTAAATCTTTACGGGAGCAGAAAACCTCATTTTTCTCCCGTGGAACAGCTAGTAGTTTCGAACTGCTGACCTTGCGGTTTGCAGCCCAATTCGTAACTACTGTGCTGCCAGAGCTCCTTGGCTTTAGAGAGATGAAAACCCTATGATGAATGTTCTTAATCCTTCACAATGTAATTATTTCAAAGGTGGGAATAATTTACTGGGAATGAGAAGGATCTAGCTCAATTTGACCATAGAGGTAGAGAGTAAAAGGGACAAGGCTTTCAGAGAAAGTCGGCCCTTATGAGCTTTGCTCCTGCTATCTGAGGAACTCTCAAGTCCAAGATATATCCGCAAAGAAATCCACTACCATCCGCCTTTCATTGGATGAAACTGGGTGATTAAATTCCAGATGTAAGGTCAAATGGGCCTTGTTTCCCTATTCTCTTTTCCCCATCTCCTTTTCCCACTATAAAAGATCAACTCTTAAACCCAGCTTTCCAGTCCTCAAAAGAGCAGCAAACAACCTTTCCTCTTTTCTAGGCTGCCTTGACTCTATGTAAGTTTGCGGGCCTTCTGTCCAGAGAAACAAAAGTGAAAAAAAGACTTTTTTTTTTTTTTTTTTTA